TTTTTTTTTTTTTTTTTTTAATTTATAGCCTAAACAACCTGATGCAGTTCTCTGCAATCGTTTACACTAAAAGCTCAGAAATTGATCGAAAAAGAAAATCCACTCTACATCACATTCCAACTTCACTCAAATTTGCTACTTTTCTTTTAAATATTATCTCCTACTGTTTCCCAGGCACATACACCCCAGCAGTCTATGTTGCAACCTTCGCCTAACACAAACTAAAATTTAAACCAACCCAACACACCAATAATGAACCCAATTTACAGTGGTACCTGAGGAAGAGGCAGTGCAGCCACTAGATCTATGAAGAAATCTGATCTCAAATACCGCCTTGCAATCAACTTTGGGTTCATAACAAGTTCACCCCTCCCAAATACTCTTGAAGTAGGTGATACATAAGCTGTCCGGAACTTAATGATCACATGTAACACATAAAATGCATCCGCAAGAGTCCGAATACATGTAACAACAATTCCTAAATTGTAATCATTATACATACAATATATATTGTTATAGTTTACTACTGTAGGGAGGTAGAAAAACAATGGATCAACAAATAGAGCTAATAAGCACCAGAAGAGGAAAACCCTGTTCCATTTTAAGAAAATATCACTGCCAGGATCAAGAATTCGCTCCCTCCAGGGTTCATGATTCTCTGGAAAAACCTTAAACCTTCCAAATTTGTGAACTTCATTGCCCCAATTTCTATCACCAACAACACTACCTTCAGTTTTCAACAAAGGGGCTGCTGCTTTATAAAGTGGCAGTGGCTTTTCTAGCTGCCCAATGCCATTTTTCACCAGGGAAAGTTCAAGGTTCTGTTTCTCAGCACTGAAAAACCTATGAATTCAAAAACCCCATCAATGAAACCACCCAAAAATGATAAAAAGAAACAAAAACCAAGAGATAAAGTTCAGATTTACCTCACTAGCTTCTCCTTCCTGGTCTCCATGCTTGTAATCTTGGTCAAATACAAACATTAAACTCAAAAACATACATAGAAATTTCACCGTACAAAAGAAGAGATCCAAATACAGCTTTTCACAAAGAACAAAGCTGCAAACTTCCCATCTAACAGACCCTGAGGAAGATGGATCTCAACTCAACCATCAAATTGACGCATCCAGAATTCGATTCAACCCCAAAAAGAACAATTTACATTCTAGGAATACAAGAGAAACCCTTTACGCAATCAAATGCAAAATTTTGGGAGGAGAGAGGAAGAATGAGTACAGCGTTGAACTGGGCAAGAGGAACCCCACGTGGCTTGTCAAGTCTCTAGTGCCTTGACTTCCATTATAAACCAATCCCCAATAAAATAACGAGTAAAATAAAAGCACTCAGCTAACAAACATTTACCCTTTGCTTGGGAGGTTGAAGACATATCTTTACTAGCAAGAAAACATCATCAAGATGAGACTGGAAGGAGTGGTAGCCATTACTGAACATACAAAAAGGATGCAGTATGTCCGAGGAAGAAATAGAGCGGCAGCAATTAAGGAGGAGAGATTTTGAGGACCCAAATTTGCCGGAGATCTTACTCCTACAGTGTTATTTCCTCTCTTGTCTTTTTCTTAATATTAGTACAATTTTATTTTGTACGTGTTCTTTCTTTTTCTTAACAGCATATACTCTGTCGAGGCAGTATTTTTTAATTTTGGATATTAAAATCTATTTTTTATCTTTTTTTTTAAAAGTAATTTAATATGTTTCCTTTTATTTTATTTTTATTTTAAAAGAATAAGTACAAAAAATGCATCAATTATTTAAATAATTGAATAATAATTTTTTTTTTACTAAAATATGATAGATTGAATTTAAATCATATTATATATAAATAAAGTAAATTAAGAGATAAAAATAATTATTTTTAATTATGTGGTATGAGATAAAATAAAAAAAGGATAATGTATTAACTACGTAAACTTATTTAAGTAAATGATGAATTATGAATAAATATGAAATTTTATAAATTAATTGTTATTTTTATTTTATTAAATAAAAAAATTAAACCAACTAAAATTAAATGATGGAATAATTATTTACTCTCTTTATTTAAAAATAATTTTTATTTTTATTTTTTCTCTAAATTAAAAATTTATGAACAATTTATATATTTATTTGTATTACTCTTAAAAAATAAAAAATAAAATGAAATGAAATTTTTTTAATAGACTGATTAATTAAAATAAATGAATAGTAATTGAGTTAAAATAAGAAAATAATATTTATTTCCTTGAAATAATAATTATTATTATTATTTTAAAATAGATGAAATAGATTTATAACCTATTTAGTGTGATTCAAACAGATAAAAAAAAGAGATGTAGAGAGGGGAAACTATTTTATTTTCACCAATTAAATTAAATTAAATTATTAAACAAACAAAATAATTTAATTAATTACAATTTTTTTTCCCTTCGATTTTTTTTTTTCCTAACCAAACAGGCTAGTAGGAACTTTAGACATCAGCGGCAGAGACCATGATATTTAGGAGTTTCTTTTCTAGTTCACTTTATGGAGCCACGATTCGTTAATGGAACAGAATTCTTCTTTCGGACAACTAAGGAATGGGACTGTCTCCATTACCTATTTTCCCAAAAAAAAGGAATGGGATTGTCTTTCTCCTTTTTCGTCTTTTTAAATAATTTTAGAATAATTTTTTTATATTATTATTTTTATACAATTTTATATATTATTTAAATAATTAAAATTTTTTATTTATTTGAGATATGTATATATTAATTTAATAATATATAAAAATTATATTAAAAAATAAAACAAAAAAAATTATTCTTATATCATCATTTTTTTTTTTATTAATTTTGGATTGTAGTATGATATAAGGCAATTTTTTCTCAAATCTTTACCTTAAGCAGCCAGCACCGACTTATTTATTTGATCTATTAACTTTTAGTAGTTAGCATATAAAGGGACTGTTGTGATGGAAAGTGGATCTTGTTAATGGCAAAATTTCTATATTGATAATACCCAAATTATACCTAGTATTAAAATATTTAATCTCGATCACATGATGAGATTTAAGAGAAAATTATATTATGTTTTACTTATTTTACAATTATAATTAGATTGTCATAATATTTTAATGTTAAAATATCATGATATTCTACGTCCTCATCTTTTTACTAGTTTACCAATTTAGACATCCGACTGGGTAAGAGAAAGCAATGTTGTCCATGAATCCATTTTCTTCAACAAAAACTTGGAAAATTGAGATGGTCTTTGTTAGGTTAGCAGTTAAATCCACAACGGAAATCGACATATTAAATGAGC